TATACCCGACACATTTATTAGCTAATTTACACACGATCTTTCCAAAGCTGGTTGAAATCACTCTGACTCTTCGCTGTCGTCTTCTTGTGGCGACTCTTCGCTGTCGTCTTCTTGTGGCGACTCGTCCCTCTCGTCTTGTGGCGACTCGTCGCTGTCGTCTTGTGGCGACTCGTCGCTGTCGTCTTGTGGCGACTCGTCCCTCTCGGGTGCCCTACTGACTGCCTTTCGCCCTGCCCCTTCCCTCCTGCCTGCTGCTTCCGGACGCTCAGCCCTGCCTGTGGCTTGCACAGGCTCGTCGCTCTCTGGTGCTCTCCTAGCCTTGCCTCTGCTGCCAGCTGCTTGCCGAGGCTTGTCTCTCCCGCCTGCCGCTCCCCTAGCCCCCTCCGTGGCAGCTGCTCCCCGGGGCCTCCTCCTCCTGCCTGAGACCGAGGGCTGGCCGGCTTCCGTCGGCTCAGGCTCACGTGGCGGCTGCAGGTCCGGCAGGAGAAGAAGCGCGTTAGTAACACCTTGGGAGGATTTCCCACACTCTATCGTGGACGAATTTCTCTTCATTCGAGTGTTTACAATTACAAATACACAAATGCGCGTGCGCACACACACATACTTGCACATGTGTATATACATGTATGCATATACACATGCACATGTGTGTATATATATACATACAACCATACATACACACATTCATATGTATAAGTGTTCATATATACACACATATACATATATATACACATATGTATACGTATATATGTATAGAATATATATGTATATATATATTATATGTATGTATATGTATATGTACATATATATACATACAAATACGTCCATTTCTATATATACACACAGACATATATAAATATTTGTGTATATATATCTATATATACATATATATGCACACACAAACATACACACACACACACACATATATATATGTACATATATATATATATATATATATATTAGATATATGTATATATATATTTAATTAAATATATGTATATATACATATGTATTTATACATGTATATGTATGTATATATACATATTTCTACATATATATCTACCTACCTATATAATATATTCATATGTATACATATATACATGCACACACACATATAAGTGTGTATGTGTGTGTGAGTGTGGATGGATAGATAGATATAGATATATAAACTTATAATTACAGAAACAACTTGCCTCCATTCCTCTCAAATGAAGGTCTTCCACCGCAGAAAGAACGTATTTCATTTTCTGTTCTTGCTCTCTTAACTGCCTCTGAAATTAAGAAACGACATTATTTTCTTCTCTTACGTTTCATCACCGTTTGGTAAGATCTGATCCCTTGCCTCCCTTTCTCTCCTCTTTCTTAAGCGAAGCTTTCAGCTCTGAAGCCTTTAGTTGCTTGCAAATGAGCTTTCATTTCACCCGACGGAGAGGGATGCGTCTGGACGCGAGACACACTTACCTTCATTCGCTTTAGCTCGCTGTCTTCCTCTTCGGGTTGCGAGTCCATTTCTTTTCCCTCTTCTTGATCTCTGAGCTTTTTCTGGAAACATCAATTCTTAGGTTATTTTCCCTGTCATTTTTGGCATTAACATTAGTCTCTATTTGGTTGCTACCACCATCAACACCATCAACGCGTGTGTGCGAAGACCAGCTCGCCCCTACCTTGAGGGCCTTGATCCTTTTGTCTCGTCTCCTGAGCTCGCTCTCAAGCTCGTCTCTCTCTTCGTCTGCCTCTTCCTCTTTCCTCTTCTCCCCTCTTTGGAGACTTTTCAACCTCTCATTGTGCTCTGCCTGGAAACGAACGCCTTTATGAGAACTGCGTCATAAAACAGGTATTTGTTGATGGTATGCATTCTCTCTTCATATTATCATGCGTGCGCCCACTTCAATGGTTCCTCGGTTTCCAAAGGGAGAACTTACCTCGGCTCGTGTGAGCTCGCTCTCCTTCTCTCTGATCTGCCTCGTCAGCTCTCGATTCTTGCTCCATTCTTCTTCCAGACGAGACTGCGGGGGAAGGCAAGGATAACTTATTTTCTCCTCTGTTCCCCTCTTCATCCTCTCCCTCTATCTGTTCATCTATTTATTTATCTGCCTCTGAGTGTCTATCCATCAACCCCTGCTGTCTGGTTTTCTCCCCCTACATATCTTGTCTACCCCCCCTCTGTGTCTATCTCTTTCTATTTATCTCTGTATATACACATCATCTTCTATCTGTGGTGTGACAATTTGCCGGATATGCTTGTAGGTTCAAAAGAAACCAGGGATCACTTATCAAGGCTATATTCAAGTACACAGAGGAGCACTGCGGTGTGCGACCGGACAGTCAGCTCACGGGCGACGCTCTGCCTGGGGCGTGTTGTTACTGGAACATGCCACTGGCAAACAAGTTGTTACATGAATGGAGGTAGATAGTTGCATGGTTAATATGATACAGAGGGTGACAATGGTGTACGTGTTATGCTATGCTATATACACAGACACTAATATATCACATATCTACACTATCTATCTCTTCCTCTCACTTTTTTCTAGCTCTCGCTCGCCCCCCCCCCCCCCCCCTCTCTCTCTCTCTTTCTATCTATCACCTCTTTGTATCTTTCTCTTCCTTCCTCACTCACTCATGCTATCCCTTTCTGTCTGTCTCCGTCTTTCTCTTGAATGTATCCCCCTGTTTATTTACTTCGACTCGTCTGTCCATTTACATACACTCGCCCAGCATCTATACATAGAGATAAGGACAGCTAGGTATACACATACCGGTGGATGCGCTACATATGTCTATACAGTGCCAGCTTAAGAATATACACACATGCATCTCTTAATATATTGACGAGCATGCAACGAAGTATAACTGCAAGTCTGTATTTGATCACACAGCCGACAACTTACCTGTAAACTTGCACTGCGTTCCTGAAGCTCTGCAATTTGCTGGTTGAGACCTTCCTTCTCGGCCTCATGCTCCCTCGCCTCACTCTCACACCTTTGCTGATGCAATTGCGCTTGCTTCACCTGCTCCTGAAAAGGTCTACCTTGGTTAGGTTGTTGCAAACAGAATCGAGCACTTGATTTGCATCTGCTTGTGCCATTCTCTTCTTTCCCTCTCTGTGTCTCTTGCACGTACCTGCATTAATTTGATTTCCTTTTCCTTTTCCTGAAGCTCCTTCTTCAACTCTCCATTTTCCTTCTGCAGGGTGGCTGCCTCCGCCACCTTCGAGTCGTACCTCTTCTTCATCTCCTTCCTCTGCTTCTCGGGATCGTCCTGCAAGAGAAAAGTCTCAGGAATGCGTCGAGGACACTGCTTTGGCGCCGCAGCCAAAGCGGAACCTGATGACAGCAACTGGGGCGCAAAGCACGGCCTTACCCTGTACGCCAGCAGGACTTGCTTCACAGCCGGATGACGCGCTGCTAAGTCCATGGGAGTTTTGCCTGGGGGAGGAAGAAGCTTGTATTAAGCTCGTGTTCATGGGTGATGGGAAGGAGGCTGGGAATGGAGGAAAAGTGGGGATGGAAATGGGGATGGGAATTAGGGTAATGAGGAAGCAGAGAAGAGGAGAGAACGAGGAAGGAAGAAGAGGAAAAGAAACGAAGGGATAAAGAGAATAGCAGCGAGAGGGAGCAAAAGGAGACAGGAAAGAGTGATGGGAGGAAGATAGGTAGAATAAAGGCAGAGAAAAGAAGAAAAAAGAGCAGAGAAATGGAAAATGAGGAATAGGGAGGAAAACTGAATAGAAGAAGAGCAGAGAGAAGAAGAGAAAAAATAGGTGGGAGAAAACAGGAGAAAGAAAGAGAGAGGAAGGGAAAAGACAGAAGGGAGGTAGAGAAAAGAGAGGATAAAAAAAGGAGAAAGAGGTATGGAGAAAGAGGACAGAGAGATGTAAAGAAGGAAAATGAGAGTGGGGATTGGAGGAAGAGAACAGAAAGAAAAGAAGAGAAAAAGAAATATGAAATGAAATAAGAGGCAGAATTGAGATACAGAGCAGGAGGAAGAGGAGAAGGAGACAGAGACAGAGGAACAGGAGAAAAAGTGGAAAATGAGAAAAAAGTAGAGGAAAACGCAAAATAGTGTAAGAGGAGAGGAAGGTGAACAAGAGATAGTGGACAGGGAGGAGAAACCGGGAAAAGGAAGAAAGGTAGTGGAGATAGAGAAGGGAGGAAGAAGTGAACTAGAGGAAAGAAATAAGGGAGGAAGAGAAGAGAGACAGAGGGAAGGAAGGAAAACGAGAGAGTAGAATAGAGGAAGGGGGGCTGGGAAAGAGGAGAAGGAAGAGGGAAAGGGAGGGATAGAAAGGAGAAAGGAGAGA